ATAGTAACATAAGAGGAAACTCTGTAAAGTGAGTGCATTAACCATCATTGCTGATCGTTTGTGATTCAGTTACGCAAGTAAACTAGAGTTAGTCATATTTGGTTTTCTCTGCGCCTAGTTCGTAGCCGTTCGCAGATATAAAAATAAAATTCTTTGACGTAATAGTCAATGGACTGCATAAGAACTCTACCGTACGGATGCGCGGAATGAGAATGGCGGCTTAATCGGTAATGGAAATAAATGGACAATATAAAATACTACTTTTTTATGTGAATTGTACATTGGCTTGAGGTCGTGAATCATTTAATATTGTTTCGTCAGTATTGTTTTGTTGTGTAGTTTCCCTTATTTCTCCGCGGAAATCGCCATCATTCTTTCTTTTAAACTTTACTGTCAAGTTTCCTCCAATTACATTCATATCGGTGTTTCTCGAAGTAGACTCGATTAGGAAGAGAAGGGCAATTTCTCCAAATACCTCTCCACTAGCAGAGTACGTGTACTTGATGAAGTGGGCACACGTTTTTTGTCTCCGGTTTACCACACGTAATTCAGTATACCGAAGATTAACAGGAAGATCACAACTCGGAAATTAAGTGTTGCAATAAAATATAATGTTTCAGAGGATTACCCAGATTCCGTAGCACTTACGGCGGCAGCCTCGAGATGTGGAATCGGCTGTTTCGAATCTCGATCAATGAATGAGTGTTTGCTTTAGTGTTGCGGCATGCTGAGACCTATCTCAACCACCATGTCTCTTGTTCAAAATACCCAATCCTTCTCAGTCCCTCTCTCTCTCTCCCTCTCTTTCTTCTCGCCTTTTCTCTCTTCCTCTTTCTCCTCCTTTCTTTGTCCTAATAGAGTTCAAGAGCCGCTAGCGTAAAGGCTCCTTAGAGTGCAAAAAGACAATGACATTAATCGAGGGCAGAGAGCGTCTGCTGATAACTGAAAGGTTAATCTGACATTAAAACGCCCATTGATCTTGATGGTGTATTAGAGAAAAATGTTTTCAATAACAGAACAATAATAAAATGAATAATGATTTAAATAACACCAAGTTCAAATATTACACACTTTGTAAATCATTGTTTTGAAAGTTAAAATAGCTTCATACTGAATCCCAATTTCAGAACAGAGACTGAACTGTACATTGTAGCATTGCAGTCCATTCTGAAAGGTGCATTAAGGCGTCAATTAAATTTTACATAAATGCCAAGTTTCTGATAACTTAGGTCGGCGACGGATCTCACCATACAGCGGGGGGTACCGTAATACCGCCACCTTCGAAGAAAAAACATGCACTACACGTACGTCAATAATGACACTGTTAGTCGACGCGCCCGGAATCACTAAAAATCAATCACCCAAATGTCGATTCCTTGTTGGTAGATCGTATTTGTATTGAGTCATACGTAATAGTTCTGTTGAGGTTCATTAAACAGCCGAGCTCTATGGATAATAAAGAGATTAGTTACTTTGTAAAGTATCACCTTTTTCCATTTCTCATTTGAAGGTATCGTGTAACCTGGTTCAATGATACAGAGCGGAAAGTACGTATGTGCAGTTGTAGCTCCGCTGGTTCGTGATTACAATGCAAACGTGCTTGCTTTACAGACAACCGCAGGGGCACAGAATTGAAAAGATCATGGCCAACACGAGCTTCGTGCTCTTCTTAATTTGATCAAGCTTTTCCTCCAATTCACAGACCGTGTAGATGTAAATGGAGTGCATGCTTTTCTAGGGACTCGTCGTGCTGAGTATATGATGTCCTATTTATGCAAACATTTGGCAGGATTCAGTTTATCGTGGCACGTAGTTGATGGCTATTTAACAATGCGGCAAGCTAACTCGCAGAACCAGATGTTATTCTCGCCGCCTGTGGCCGGCCAACTGGATGCGTTCTGCATGTATGCATACAAACAAACGTGATCACGCACAAGCATAAAACAATTGAATCAGTTAATTTACGTAAGTTGGTGTTTATGGTTGCGTGGCGCGGTGGTCTTCGGACTGCAGATCGCCTCGGGCGAGGGCCATGCTGCGCTTGCTGGTGCATGGCATTAGTACACGTTTTGGCGAGTGGCATTGGAATGTGGAACAATAAAAGTGGAGTGCGCGAATTGATTCCGAAGGGGCAGATGCAACCAGGAGCACACAAACCAAGTGCAAGGGATCTGTAGGAGTGGAATCGCACAGTGGTCTAGCGAAATAAAATCCCTATGTTCTTCATTATCTAAACCCATCTAGTCATGTCACAATTAAAAAAGTTGTTATTTTCATTACATTTTTCGTCTACTTCGAATTCGGGAAAATAATGTTAAAGCTTCCGAAAAATATAATTCACAATCAGAAGCAGTTTAAGATCAAATATGTGGTTGGAATTGTGCCAGCAAAAATGAATGAATTGATTCATTTCGATGCTCATAAAAGAGAATGAAATTCGCAGCTGTGAAATACTTCTCTTATTCTCATTTCTATTTTCTAGGAGAATTCGCGAGGCGCTAGGAAACATATGTAAAAGCCCATATGTATTAATCTTTATCCGTTCATCCTATATTCTTTGGTAATTCGCTGAACATAGGCAAAAGCAGGTTCCTCCCCAAGTCACTGCTTATATTGCCTCTAATGAAACAAATTTTAATCGACACACTTTGGCTCGACAGCCGGTCCTTACCCGACAAACTGTGACCCAGCCTCCCAGCTATGGGAAGTGTGGGAATTTCGTGGTTAGCTGGAATACATCCCTCCACCGTATGTACTTGTCTTCTTAACCTTAGGGTGAGCATTCTCATCATCATACAGCAATAGATACTGGTACATTTGTGAAGAAAGCGCACATTAATAATTTTGACCCTACTAGAAATCGAAGCCGGGATTGCGCCGTGGAAAGCAACCGAAGGCCAAATTGACATACAGTGATAATATATTTGGCCGTTTTTTACTTAGTAACTCGTTGCTGAAATGCTCGTAGTCAACCTGAGCAAAAAGTCATTTAGATGATTGCCTTAGAGTGCAGCGGGGGGTGAGGGGGGGGCGACGCCTGTCGTCTGCATTCCGCGGCCGCGGCGCCGGACTCCGACTTGGCCTCTGCCTGCGACTCCGCTCCGCGCCTCCTCGACTCGTAATGAGGCGCCGGCGCTTGGAAGGCGTGGCCACGAGGGAGGCGCAGGCATTGTACGTAATGAAGGCACCTGCCAGGTGCAGTGACGAAGTGAAGGAGACTGTCGCAATGGTATGTGCGATGATGATGGACTGTTTATCTTCTTCTACATCTATCAAGTCTCGTCTCCTCTCTCTCTCTCTCTCTCTCTCTCTCTCTCTCTCTTTCTCTCTCTCTTTCTCTCTCTCTCTTTCTCTCTCTCTTTCTCTCTTTCTCTTTCTTTCTCTCTTTCTCTCTATTTCTCTCTTTCTCTATTTCTATCTTTCTCTTTTTCTCTCTTTCTCTCTCTTTCTCTCTTTCTCTCTCTTTCTCTCTCTCTCTTTCTCTCTCTCTTTCTCTTTCTCTCTCTTTCTCTCTCTGTCTGCCTCTCTCTGTGTGTCTCTCTCTGTGTGTGTCTCTCTCTGTCTCTCTCTCTCTCTCTCTCTCTCTCTCTGGGACCTCTCTGCTGTCTTCTCTTATATATATATTATATAATATATATATTATATATTATATATATATAATATATAAGAGCGGTAAACTTCGACACCGTGTAACTGGTCTCCATGAAAGTTGGCAAATCTAAGTGGTTTTTCACCCAGCTTTATGTGCTGTTAAATTTGTAGGAATTCCACTAGATGGCGCTTCAGACCAAAATTGCGATTGATTTTAATTCAATTTCCATTCAAACTGGTCTTCACGTGATCTTCATTGTTGCTGAGCGCGTTGACGTGTGACATAGAGGGAGAATTCAGTCACGAAAAGATGGAGAAAGGCAGGGACAAGGACAGAGATACGCAGACAGACAGGGAGAGGGACACTGAGAGGCAGGGACAGACTGAGACATTTACAGAGAGAGAGACACAGATATAGAAAGGGAGAGGGAAGGAGAAAGAGGGCGATGAAGGTCAGAACAATGTTAGATTACGCTAGTATGATCTAAAGATGGAAATCGGAGTCACAAGTACACGATATCGAAGAAAGAATGTACGATGAATGTCAACACATTGCAGCAATAAGATGTAGTGATTTCACATTGTTCTTATTACGTATGTGTGCTTATCGGAGATTGTGTTTTCAAGCATTTTAGACTATAAGAGTGAGTTGTTTCCAATTTGTAAGGTACTGTTTACAATGGATTTCACGCAAGGTGCAACATTAATTTTTTCCGGATACTGTTGTTTCATAATCAAACAATTTCAATCCATGCAAAATTAGAAACAATATTTAACACTTAGATCATTCAAAATACATGTTTATCTATTTTTACGTTTTTTTCTCACATGTGAAAGTGTTGTTTTAGTTTCGTCTTCGTTATCCAACAATGGAGAGCGTTGCTCGACGCGAAGGATTTTCATGTTTTAATGATACCATCGACTCTGGCATTTCTTTTGTTGTTGTTTCGCGGCTTCGAAAATAATCTCATAACTGTATAGTTGTGTGTAAAATTTGCGCATCACTTCTTCACACATCTGTTTCAAATGAAATGCCTGAACCAAATATCCGACGTCGTTACTGGAGACTTACCATGGCAGGCAAGTTTAATTTCAATTGAGTTCAGCTTACTGTTTACATGGAATGCTCTTTATAATATGACGAATTGACATGGAGGTTTTTGGAATTGTAAGCTTCTCTTGAGCGACTAATTTTTATTTCCGATCACATACTGAGATGTTGCGCGACATGTCGTGTAATGCACGTATGGTAACCACCATTCACTAATTTCGGTACATAGTCGATCGAATTCTCTGGGCCCATCGGATGCGCGGAATGTTTGTCGGGATACTATTTTCTTCTCTCTTTATTATTTTCTGTTCGCCCCCTCGTGTCCGTCACCTATCATTTTGCGTTATTTCATCATTACAGGCAATGAGAGCGGCGGAAGACCTGGTCGACAGATGGGATGAGCGGAGCGGCTGAGGTACGTCAGTTATTTAGAACGAGGTAATGCTCGTCTCTGTATTTTTGTTAGTTCACTTAAAATGACGGATGAATACTTTAGGAAGGCGGAAATCAATCTAAATACATGAGATTTTTTGTTAATAGGCAGTATATTAAACATTACGGTCTAACGTATCTAGAAGGAAGTTCGCAAATTGGGTGCTCGGGGAATTCTACCATTGTGTAACCCACCTGACAATTGGAGGCTCTTGCTCTCTACGGTCTATAATAATAATAATAATAATAATAATAATAATAATAATAATAATAATAATAATA